TTGACTGGAGGGAACATGGCACTTTCCATAAAATAACCTATGAAAACGCATCAATTTCTTGGAAGATGACTAATTTATGTACTTTGTTTTTTAAATTATGAAATAACCTGAAAAAAATTGCTGACTGTACCTTTAAAGGAACTCTGACATACTGGTTATTTATTGTTACTGGGTAAAACCAGTATGGTTTCTTTGTATAGTAAAAGTGTCTCAGTTGTGTGGTGTGGTTGAATGAGTTCATACTGCAGTGGTGGCAAAGCATCCTGGCCCATTGAAAAAGCACAGAGCAATCAGAAATGCATCCACTGCCTAATCACTTTATATGTCAATTTAAACCAAACCATCAGTCCTGAGTGCTTCCTAATGGACAAAGAGAAACAAAAGAGGAAGCAAAGGAGGAGGAGATGAAGGAGAGATAGAAGAATGGGGCAAATAAAAAAAACAGATAGCAGTGATATGATGCGAGGAAGAAGTGAGGCAGTCAGAGAATAAAAGCAAGACATCTTAAAAATCCACGTAGATGTAGTACATTTAAATTCGCAATAAATAAATATAAACTCCTAACTGTTCCTACAGTATGTGGTTATGTCTTAATTTTGACAATCTGCACACCCCCTTGTGGTTTGGGAGCTTCTTGTTGCTGCAAGATAAAGTCATCAGATAAAAACCAAACATGCCATTTACCTCAGTAGCTTCTCCATCTCTATTTCTGTCTCATTTCTTTGGACTCATCTCCCTCTCTGAACTGCAGCCTGTAACCCCCCCTCTCATATAACCTCCTTTCTACCTTCCTGTGCACCTCCTTCCTCTCCCTACTCTCGTCTCAGGAGACAGAGAGAAGAGAAAAGAAGCTGGCCACCCTTGGGAGCGTCTGACTGAGAAAATAGGTCAATTTGGAAAGCTGTCTACCTGTTCTCACCCCCTTCTCTCTTGCAAAAAAAACACAAGCAGGTATGAACACCAGCAAGTATGCATGCAAGGATACACACACACAGACACACACAGACAAATACACCCAATGATTGCATAGGCTTTCAGCCTAAACCTTACACTTTGCACATATTGGACCAATGGCGATCACTACTTGTTATTTTTTATGCCACAAAATCACAAATCTGTCATTTTGTCATTATTTAATAATAATAATACATGGATATTACAGCGGTGCTACATGAGCATCATACTATAGAGAAGCCTTCTACTTTTTTTATTCCACTCCATTAATCTAACAGCTACACGTGCTTGTCTCACACTCTTCAGACTAGTTATTCATTTAAAATTCATGCACACTTCATATTAAATATGATGCATTAGCGCACATTAAACTCACCAGCCGTATACAAAGCAGTCATTAGTAGTTAACAGCTGGGCGGATGTGTAACGGCACAGCAGCGAGAAAAATGTCAAAACAGCTGCATAAGTTATGATTTTGACCCGATACTGGTGCTGCATAAGAGTCAAAAGATCACACTGGGATAATCGTGTAGCTGACTTGAGAAACATCCACCCAGTGTTTGTTGATACATGTCAGTCAGGGCTATAATCGACTGATTACACCACTATCTGTTAACACTGCCTACACAATTATGCCTCTGTGTGTAGTCCAGGGTTCGTTTATCATTAGCAGCAAAGGTTATTCTGAATGGGTCAGTTCATCAAACACTTCCCACCTCATCATTCATTTTAGATGTTTTTTTCCAGTTATTTTAAAACTGCATTATCTAGAAAACCACTTTTTACAGTGAATTCCTGCTTCTCTGTGGAGGAGTGTAACCCAGGTTAATATAAAATGATGGATTATGAAAATGAACGTTTTATTTATGGCGGCCAAAGATTATAATAATATATATAATTATTATTTTTTTAAATGTGTTTGTTTTAAAATAAATGGCCTAAATTTCATTCAGTGCCTGCTATTTACTGGGTGAAATTGGATTTGACATCAAGCAGTGCTATAAAAATGTCTAAAAATGTTTTACCTTCATCGCTTAAAGCATTTTTATTAGCAAGCTAATGACAGTAGGGGCCTGAAATGTTGTTATTAAGAATTGCATTTTTGCCCTGGCACCTTTTTAAGCCAATGTGGCGAACACCTTCATCTTAAACGCAAAACATCTGCAGTTCAAGACCAGAAAGAGACACAATCTCAGCTTCACAGGTTCACAAGCTAGGACCCTCCTTGTGCTGGCCCCCAGCTTGGATAAATGGGGGGGTGAGGTTGTGTCATAAAGGGTGTAAACGAGTCGTCCCTTCAGAAATAAGGAGCCAGCTACTTAGCTAATAGATATGATAAGTATAAGATGTGACAATATGATAATTGTGGTGCACTCAAATCACAGAAAAACGAATCAGTAACACGTTGCAGAGCAAACATTCGGACATTAGACACCAGCTTGTGGTAAAAGTTCTCATCCTCTTTCACCTCTGTTTCATCCTCTGACGCTCAAACAGTTGAGGTAAAATATTCAGGCTAGCATCCAGTTCTTTTGAATAAACCATCATGTTTTCTGTTCACTCTCAGTCGACTTTATTATATGCATTACACATAAAAGATATACCCTTGAAGTATCACTGACATAAGACACACAGAATATAATAAATGTTGCAGAGGCTGCTTGGTGTCGAGTGTGTGTCTGAATAAATGCGCAGCAGCATGCACGCTCAGCAAAACAACCCCGGGAACATGAAAGTTTAACAAAGCCGGTGCTTGCATTTAGGACACCAAAGCACCAAATGTCAAAGTCACGGATATTGCTTTGTGCAGTGTGGCCACACAGAGTGCAATATGTGGTATACAATATATTAGAGCTTTAAGTTAGACTTTTCTACTTGGTTATATGTTTTTTAGTAAAGCTTACATAAGGTTTAAATACAAAATTTAAAAAAATAAGAAAGGACAAAAGTGGCTTGGCACCAGATTTTTATAACATACATACAATACAAGATATTTATTATTAAACATTATACTTTTCACAGGAAAAAAATCTCTATCTATATACCTGATAGTCTTGCTGCTATTTCCACTGATACAAAAAAAAAACCTTAAAAAGCTATTTTTGTGCAGAAACAATTGCATTTTTTTGTGTTTCAGTGCATTAACACCGAGGCTCACTCAACTAATTAGAAATGACGAAAAAAAAAATACAAAAAAGTGTCATTCAAGTAAAACTGAAATGGATGGCAACAGTAAAGAGATGTTGATGACTGGCAGGATAAGTAGAAGATGGTTTATTCAAAAGAAGAAACATTAAATAAGTGCATGTGAGCAAGAACGTGGTTTTCAATTCACGTTCTTTGATTTATATTATTCCTTTCATTTAGTTGTGATTAAACAAGATCAATGTTCAATACACAGGCCAGTATTACCTAAAGCCCTTCCCCTTCCTGATTTCTTACTTTTTTGCATTTTTGTCACATATACATGTTTCATTTCGTCACACAAAGATAACCAGCGTCAATGCAAAATGCCGTTTTTAAATAATGGATTCATTTATTGAAGGAAAAAGTTATCCAAACCTACATGGCCCTGTGCGATAAAGCGATTGCCCCCTAAACCTAATAACTGGTTTTGCCACCCCTAACAGGGAGAACTGTAATCAAGTGTTTGTGATAGAAACCAATGAGTCTTTCAAATCACTGTGGAGGAATTTTGGCCCACTCCTCTTTGCAGAATTGTTTTAATTAAGACACATTGGAGGGTTTTTGAACATGAAGGTCATGCCAAAGCATCTCAGTCAGATTAAACTCCTAACGCTGACTGGGACGCTCAAAGACCTTCATTTTGTTTTTTTGGTTTTTTGAGCCATTCAGAGGTCGACTGGCTTTTGTGTTTGTCCTGCTGCATAACTCAAGTCCACCTGAGCTTTAAGACATGAACAGAAGGCCAGAAATTCTCTTACAGGATTTTGAAAAAGATGAAAAAGAGTTTACACATGACTGTATATAATCCTGTTAGAATAGAATAATATATTACATAATCTAACTGGACCACAGAGCAAAGTCTGCTTTCCACCCACCTTGTTGTTGTGACAGAGACTGGGTACTTTGATATACGAGATAGATTTCACACCCTCTGGGTGAATGAAGGGACGGCTATGTTAAGGTTAGGATGTGGACCCAAGTAACCTTGCCAAAAGTGAAAGGTCCCTGATGGGATGACCAGTCAAGCGTGCAGTCAGGCTGAGTGTCTGCTTTCTCTTCTCCCCACACACTGTCAGGTCAGTAAACTCTACTATTGTGCAATATCACCCTACATTTTTTCCAACCCTCTCCATTTCTGTAACATCAATACACACACACGCGCGTGCATATACAAACACAGCCTAGAGTGCAAAATGGGATCTCTAATGCATCCACTGAAGTGGTTTTAGCTATCTGACTGCAACATGATACCAGCATGGCTTATAGTGTTATTATACTGCAGCTACTCTGTAGAGTCATGCTTTCGCCAATCTCTCTTCTTCTTTTTAGTTCAAAACATGAACATGAATATCTCAAAGATTAAATACTGATATATCCACTGGTCCTCCTTACTATCAAAATGAATCAGAATCAGTCATTTGGTACATTAAAAAATGTTGAAGTGTGCACTCAAATGCCATATTTGAACTCATTTCTGATATATAGTAATATTTCACAATAACAAAAGCATGTGGAAAAATGAAATTTTACCATGAATTCTTAGTCACAAAGATAAAGAAAAGGTTATATAATGCTAAAATTCCACAGCAATCATCCAATGTTTGTCCAAGGTTTACACAGATGGAGATAAAATGACCCAGGTTTTACATTATGAACTGAAATTTTTGTTTTTGTAGTACAGTTTGTCATATTTACTCAATCCAGCGTGGAAGTTGAATGAAAATGTCATTTTTTCCATTGTTGTGACTTTGATCTTGAAAAATATTCCATGTGGTTTATTTTACAGTGCTGTGAAACTGAAATAAGCATTATTCCGAATTATTGTCATTGAGTGACTTTTTTTTATTAGTGCTGGACTATATTATATTAATATATTATTAACTAGCCAGTTATCAGACATTTTTTGATGTATTTGTCCCAAATTACAGATCCTGATTCATTCTGATGGTAAGAAAGATCAGTGAAGATGGTTTTGAGGTATTCATTCAATTCAATTCAATTTTGTTTATACAGCGCCAAATCAAAACATGAGTCGCCTCAAGTCGCTTTATATTGTAAGGTAGACCCTACAATAATACAGAGAAAAACCCAACAATCATATGACCCCCTATGAGCAAGCGCTTTGGCGACAGTGGGAAAGAAAAACTCCCTTTTAACAGGAAGAAACCTCCAGAAGAACCAGGATCAGGGAGTGACGGCCATCTGCTGCGACCGGTTGGGGTGAGAGAAGGAAGACAGGATAAAAGACACGTTCAAACATTTCCACAGCAAAAAAAAAAAAAAAAAAAAAAATTGAAAGGGGGTCTTTGGACCATTTTTCAAAACAAATATAACTTTAAAAGTATTTGATATATAAAGCTAAAAATTTCACAGCACTCATTATATATGTTCAATCTTTGCATCATAAACATTGTTATGCAAATCTGCAAACGTTTAAGCAGAAAATGTTCTCAAAATCGACAGATTTGAGATGGAATGACTAAAGCAAGGCCTCCATTATCAGTTATTAAGGGGTTTTTTTGTCCGCTTGCTATGATGATGAGCATAAATGTTATTGTAACAAAAGCTTTCAGAGCAGTGCTTGAATTAAATAATTTTTAGGAACTAAACTTTTACTCCCTGAGTCTTCACTTGTATTGAAATGGTTCTCCAGATATTTCCAGGGGTTTGAATTCCACTTCTATGGAGAAGTACAGGAATTATGACCTAGTAAACACAGTATCCTGCATTTTCCATAATTTGCGTTATTACCACTCATTAAAGCCTGTTTCCCTGACAAACTCATACATATTCCACACCTGCTGGTTGTCATAAATGTTTCCACAGCCCACGCTGAAATAAACTCATGACTCACTATGACATCACCTTAGATATTGTCCCACACTTCATTCAGCTCCTGCAAGGCCACAGTAGACATTATACAGCTTTAGTCATTGGATAGCTGAGTCTATCTGAACATCTTGTACATAATCAATGCCGTGTCCTTTTAAAATCTTTGCCACTTTGTAATGCAGTGTTTTTTTTAATGGGCAGCACCCAAGCTTAGCCCAAGATTACTCCAGTGATTTTCATTTTGAAAACTTTAGATGTGGAAACATAGCAAGCTCTTCAAGCTCCGTACAGTCCAGCAGAGCCTTTTACTCTGAAACAAGCGCTCCTAGATGCTTTTCATCGCTCTGCATTTGTATTAGTGGAAGCTGCACAGTACAAAGTCAGCATTGCCTAGCAACCAGGTGACCTTTCTTATTAGCTGTGTGTGAATGTGCATGTATGAGTGACTGTGATTGTAACAGGCAGGGAAATCCTCACATCAGGGTGGGGAAGCAAACCGGCATGCACTTAAATACAGCGCATGCATATCAGACTTGTGAATACACACACACACAGATGTCTCTTATAGGAAGTGACATACACTTACAATTACCATTCAACACATGCACACACTGTAATTAAATATGAGAAAGATCACTCTCTGTCCTTAGTTTGCCACAGGGAGAAAAAACGAGTATGTCCACTAAGCAAACATCTAGCTGTCTCCCCTCTCTCGAGCACTGGCACACCCACTGCAGTCTTACTGCACATAAAATGCAGCACAGTGGGATGGGATGCCTTGCTTCAGGGCAAAGCATTAAACTGTTTAAGTGAACAGCAACACCCTATCATATCCACAGCTGGACAAGGTTAGAGAGGAAAAGTAGTTTGGTGAAGAAGTGACAAAACAGGCACTGCGTACCTGTCAGGTCCATAGTAATTGGTTCAGGTGCGTCATCGCACAGCAGGGTCAATCTGGTCACCTTGACATTAGGACCAGAGGCGTCTGAAGAGGAGAAACAGTCCATTATTGCAGAATTCAAGTACCTGCTTGGCTTTTGTTTGTTCAGTTTTCATCTTTTCTTTTATTCCTGATTGACTGAGCTCGACATCATGAACAGTAGCAGGGAAAATGAACAAGCTGGCCACATTAGATATCACTTATTTGATCTGTAATCAGAGGCTGGCCATTGCACTAATGCTGGAATATCAAAAGGCATCTTAAAATACAGTATCTAACATTTAGAAGCACTAGAAAAACGTCTTGTCCCAAGCTGGTATTTAGAGATAGTTTCGGTATTCAGCATACAGCTTCTCTTCGATGATAAAGTCATCTCCCCTCTTTGCTGCTTTTCCATTGTCTCATTATAGCCTTTCTTACAGAATTCAATGCTACTAAGCTGTAGATGAGGTGGTGCTGAGTTACAGCAGTGAGGGAGTCAGAGCTGTACTGATATCAGCTGCCATAACACTGGCT